TTGCAATTTATTGGGATGTGGGAATACCAATCGATGTACGCTGCAAACAGTAGCTACTAAGATGATCACATTGGTACGGCTCTCATGTACTGTGATTCCAGGCAAAACTTGTGAGTCAGGAAACTGTAGACGCACAGCATTGCCAGATAGATTTGATCCAGAGATAATTCTATAAGCTCTATTACATCTTGGTTGTTATGCCTACATATATATACATGTACAAATAAAAAAAAAAACTTTAATAAAAACAGCATATTCAAATTTAATAAAAAGTAACCAACAACACAATACCGGTTATAAATGTAAATGTACATGCTAATTTAAACATTTTAGTACAATACATTCACAAACTGATTATCAATCAAGAAGATTGATTTTTTTTTTTCTCTATAAAGATTAAATCATCTCGTCATACTATACTGAGAATGTTCTTCAGAATGAATCAGCTTAATTTTATCCCAAAATATCTATAGCACAATACAAGAATTGTTTTTTTAGTGTTATAGTTTTTGCACAATTTGCACTTTCAACTGGACACAAGAAAGGATGTGTTAATAAGATGTTACTTACCAGTAAATGAAACGGTTACTAGATGGCGTATTTATTTTGGCACTGTCTTTGTAACCATAGCCACCAGCACTTTCCACTACTTTGATGTCTTTTAGCACACTCTGTGGAGCTTCTGTGAAATAAATGAGAAGATACAGTACTATGACATCTATGCAAATTTCGTCATAAATATTACATGTACATGTACCTGGACTATATTTTAATACTAAGCAACCTGACTGGCGAACTACTTTCAAAAAATAAAATTTAATGAGTATTAAATTAATAAAAAAAATGTTTTTAATTAAATATTAATTAGTTATTAATGTTCTACTACTAAAACAATAATTTAACCAGATTTCCAAGGCAATATATTCACAAGCAGAAACAACAAAATACACCTGCAGACTGATATCAGTACCAAGTTGTACAATGTTTTTCGAGCTACTTGGTTAGGGTAGTAATATAGCATAAGTAAAATTTATATTTGGACAACTCAATTGTGACTCACATGGTTTAACAGACTAAATATATAGGCAACATACATTTCAGTGAATTTAAAAGTTAACATTGAGCCCTATTAAGAGAAGAATTTTTTTCAGCTATCAGGTTTGTAGTATACATCACAGTCCCTCAACAACCGGTTAGGAAACCGGTTTGTTTTAAGGTGTTAATCCCCCAATCACTGGTAACAGTGCGTGTTGCAGTAGAGTGAAATCGATGACGTCATAGCATCTTGGGGTCTATAACTCATTATAGTGTTTCTATATCTAAAACGATCACAGCCATCATACTTTTGTAGTTCAATATTTAAGTTGTTCCCCAATTTATATTAAATTTTGTAGAAGCAGAATTAATGGGTTAATTTCAGTTGACTATTTTACTGTTAGTTTTGCCCCATTAGATACTTTAGATACTCGTATTTACCCACGAAGCAAGATTCAAACGACCTTAGTCGATGTTATACTGAGAATAACTGATCTTAACAACCCTCCAAACACTCTTTTCCTGACTTGAACTATTATTTTATTAAAATTAATTTTAAAGTGGAAGTTCAAAAAAGTGTCCAATGCTGTTTTTATGGCTGCTGTGTTCATTTTTTTTTCTTTTTTTTTCTTTTATCAAACTTATAAACACATAAACTATGCTCGATAGGCTTTTTGCGCCCCTGACAGAATGGATGGCTGAGTCAAAGTCTCCATCTTAAAGTTGTCGCCTTCTTTCATGCATTCAGCAGCAACGTACTCTGGTCCCTCTTCTAATATATCATTCCTATCGATATCCCTGTCATCAAAATCAACAAAATCCTCAGCGTTTTCCCACATTTTGGTAAATAAAGTACCGTCTCTCACTTTGTAGTAAAAATCAAAACAAAGAGTATACGCATGCGTACATGTGAATCAAGAAGGCTCTTGTTAAAAATTATGTCATACCATATGCTAATTTTATGTTAATAGCAAAGTAGACTTGCAGTAGACGAATTAATGAATTAACAATTTCATAAATATAAAACACACATGGAGACAAAAGAGGTATTAGCGTTCCCCAACCAGTTGTTGAGGGACTGTGTATACATGTATAAAACGATGCGTCAAAGAGGGCGATACTCACATACGAACATTGCCTGTCTACTCAACACCGACATGTAGCAAAATGGGATGGGCATAAAACCATGCTAACTTTAATTCCCTGTACGTAGTCGTGAATTTAACCAAACTGCGCCAAATTAGAAGTTTGATTGTTTATCATGTTTGTGCTTGGGTAGATATGCCATCCGACGACTGAATGTAAATATATCCACTCTGACACGCTGTAGACCCAGGGTTATTAAATACCGGTATATTATCACAAGCGATGCCGACGCAATTGGAAGAACATTTGTTTGGCTTATTTAAGTTAATATTAACGATTCCGTGTTTCAACAATCATTGAAATTTTAAATATTACAAGTAATAGGTCAAAAATAAAGAAAAATTCTTTTCACCAAAATTAGTGTTGTATGCAAAATGGACGAGAACTTTTGTTTTGCCATGACATGTGACAAGTGAAATCAGGTGACCCACAAATTGCTCCAAGCAGTAGCGACAAATACGGTGGTTTTGAAAAGCTTTGCTGACATACTGACAACTACCAAATCTTAATAAGTGTTTCCCTCACCTGTATGCACAGTAAGTTCCTTCCATCGCAACAATTCCAAGTTACTTAGCGGAACTTCGATGTAACTACTGGGCTCCGCCATTTTGGATGTTATCGCCCGCCAAAGCGTTGTCGTGGGAGGGCGCTCACAGGGGATATTCCCACGTAGCAGATACCATTAAAGTATGGGGGGTGTAGTAATCAAGTGAACGTAAAGTTGGCAGTTTATACAAAGCAATGGGGTACAATTCAATCGTTCTTCTTTACATATTTTTAAGTTTTAAATATTTTTAGTCATTTCTCAATAGAAAAATGACGATAGAATAAGAAGTTGCCACAGTTGCCCATATTTTACTTCCTTCCCAACCTATTCATGAATGCATGGTACTTGTAGTATCAGGAGATCACGGAGCTGACATGACATGGCCAGATATCACGACCGTGGGGATCAAGGCACGGTGCCTGAATTGTACAGTGTATTTGCTGGAGAGGTATGTATTATATATGTGTATGATCACGTACTGCTGCTGAAAGAGCCAAATATGGCACCTTCATGTTGTTGTGAAGACTTTTTATTGAATTTTACATTGGTAGTGAATGGTAGCATATTTGCAGGATTCACAGCCAATTCGCCCAAATTCACATTTGTTTCCAACACATTCATATTTATCCCAATACAATACTTCTATCCCATCCCTATCTGAAAGTACTTTAAGAAATCTTGGGCCTTGAAGTTCTCTCAGGTCGTGTGATTAATATTCCCATGAAACATTGCATTATTATGACATTGAAAATAGTTCATAACAAAAACTGTCTAAATATACTTACCACTTATAGAAAATATTGCATGTCAAGTTCTATGATGAACAGCCATGAGCCATTTCAATGAAACATGGTACATGTGTACCCTGGAACAATACACAGACCTAAATCTATGCCTAATAATTGATTAATTTGCATAATAATTCACTTCAGAGTTTTTTCTAAGCTTTCTTTGATTAATGTTTGACATGCAAGATAAAGTTGAGATATCAGACACATACAATATCTAACAAAATATTAATCCTGTTTGTCGATGAACGGATTTCAAAATAAAAAAACATGCTTACACAATAAATTATAAGCTTGAATTTGATCACGGTTTATTTTACATTTTTGTACCTTTGCTTTACAGGTAACTTCAATTCAACAGTATGGAGCATTTATTAAAATACCAAGATGTAAAAAAAATGGTAAGTATGAGAAAGATTCATCATAAAAGTGAGCTATGATTGCTTTATTTATGGTTTAGTTAGTTTTGTTCGTCCATGATGTTTATACATGTACTGGTATATACTTATGCAACAAATTCTGCTATACATTGTAGGTTTGGTCCATAAGAGTCACATTTCTAACTCCAGAGTGGAAGATGTCTCTGATGTACTAGCATTGGGTGACAAAGTCTACTGTAAAGTCATATCACTTGGGGTAAATATTCCAGTTTCATCATTCATTCAACTAAGTGATCCTTCGCTATGTCACGCCTCCGTAAGTTGCGATTTCGACTAAGTTGCGGGTAGCTGGATGGCTCCCAAAAATTATCAGAAAATGATGATAAAGCTGTGATGTTTTTCAATAAAGAAAATGCACTATTAATAAACCCACGTGTGTGTATGTGTTTTTTCTCTATTTTTAATGCAGGCCCCTTGGTAAGTCGCAACCCTTGATAAGTCACGGTTTTTGTTTTGCTTGGATTCCGACACCCATGACTTAGCGATGGGTCACTGTTCATGTTTAATACCATCTGTTCATGATTGTTTATACCATTACTGAAACACTAACAATATGCAAAGCAGTACGGACAACCAAACATTTTACAATGCATCAACATTCTTCAGAAATGAACATAAATATTGTTTTATTCAAATTTGAGCCCATTAAGCCAAATCATTCAGAAATATTTAAAAAAATAACAGTAACATACATGTACATTATTTATGAACACAAATTTGCACCATTCCTGTGAAATCTTTCATCAAAATACAAGTATTGAAAGGTAACACCACCCCTCCCACCCAAAGAAAACAATGTGATAATACAAATCAGGTCTGTGGATCGCCATAAAGCATGTAATAAAAGAATTCCAATAAAAAAACTGGTGATCCATTCTCAAGATATACTGTATGTGAATGGACAATTGACAGGGTACGTAGTGATTTCCATAAACTTCCATAAAATAACTAATATGGTCGTTAATCATTACAGGATGAAGGTGATGACAAAGTCAAGATCTCGTTATCCATGAAAAACATAAACCAAGATGATGGTACAGATCTCGATCCAAACCAAGTACAGTTGGTGTAAGTATCAACTTTACTGTTCTGAAAATGTGACAAGTTTAGCTGACGAATTTATCATTGTCAAGCTCTAATGCTATAATAAGATGGTGTTTTATATTTTCAGACAGGATGAGAAAAGGAGAAAGAAAAGTGGTACTTACATACCAGAGAAGATAGAACTTGGAGTTGTGTTAAATACAACATGTCGGAAATGTGGATGCAAAGGTATGCCTTTATGATATCTTTGTTCGACTATGTCGTTGAATTTATTCAGTCAGGTGATAATCACTGAAATACTTCTCATTATTATGCGTGTAATCATTCCATATTTGGAATTTGCATTTCCTAATATGGTAGGATGAAAATACCCCGTAAAATACCGCAAAATTACGGCATGCTGTAACTTATGACATTACAGTGACAGAGTATAATAAATTTATATATTACACCACTACATAGTAGATAAATGTTGATTTGAAACATCATGAAGAGTTTGTACATGTTTTTTTGTATGCACAAATCAGTGACCATGCGTGTCATAAACCAACAAGGCAACATATTGTGTACTCAGAAAGGATACGGGACCATACAGTCTGTTGTTTATAGTGTATCAGTGATTTCCTGAGCTTGTATCAATCCATCATGTGGTGATGTCATAATCCTAATTATAATATTATCTGTGAAAATTTATCTTTGCTTTAATTTCCGTGGAAATGTAAGTTGCCAAGACAATAATTCCAAACAAATTTCTCATCCAAAATACCTTATGTTCTATCACCGCATAGTGCATTGTGACTAGATTGTCAACTTTTGGTTTAAAATTTAGATTTTTTTCTTCATAAGCTTTTATTAGATGAGATATGCAGAATATTTTAATTTAATAGAAAAAATTATGTATATTTCACTAGGTTTTGTATTGGTATTGTCTTTGTCTTCCAGGTCATCTGGCTCAGGATTGTTTTAAGATACCTGGTGGAAAATCCTATGAATTGCTGCCAGAAGATGACAGTTTCTTGACAGCACTTTCCCAGCCCACTCCTTCAGATAAAAGTAGTCACAAGAAGAAAAAGAAAAAGGTACAATTTTGTCACATAATCTCTTTTTATGTTTTAATTGTTGTAGTCACCTGAACTGTCTTCACTGTGAATAATTGTATTCAATCTATTTGTAACTTACCAAATCTGTGAGCATGACAACACAAAATTTTATTAGGTACACATATCATAATTATTGTCTTTTACACTGAAATGGACCTAAATGTACAACATAATGATGGCAGTACTTATAGACTTAACATCTCAATCTATAGATATATGTGATACAACTACACTACACAGTCATCAAATAAATAAAATGATTGAACATATCAACTCATCTATTTACTAACTGACAATCAATAATGCATATCTTTCCTCATTTTCAATTCAGGACAAAAAACACAAGAACAAAAAGAAACACAAGCACAGGGACAATGATTCAGAGTCTGGCTTCTGAGAAATGAGAAAAAAATGAAATCAAAGTACAAAAGGAGAAGACAGTCATCAGATTTGGACAGTGATGATGGGGACAGAGATAAAAAACAGAAGAAACATTCTGAGGGCGAGAGCTGTCAGGATAAGAAAGAACATCGGCATATTAGAGGTGACAATTTTATGAGAAATCAAGACAGAGAGTATTCGCATAGAAGGGATCAAGGGCAACATTCGCATGCAGGCAAATCGGGTAAAGAATTCTCCCATAGAAAGAGGGGAAGAGATTCAGAAGATGATGTAAAAGATCGGCGTCACAGACATGATGCTGAAAGTGACAGACCTAGAGACATGAAAGATCATCATCACAGACGAATTTCTGATGAAAAAGGAACACTGGACGTGAAAGAACTTCACCACAGAAGAGATTCAGAAGGGTATAAAAGTCATGAAAAGAAAGAATATCACCAAAGAAGAGACTCTGGAGAATATGGAGGTCCACGCAGATGGGAAAACGAGAAATATGAGGATGTTAGAAAGAGAAACAAACATGAAACTGACAGATATACTCATCATGATAGACACAGTAAACATCATAGATAATATAACATTATGTGGTTTTATTTTTCCAAACAGATACATATAAGTCTTACATGTATACATGAATTTATGAAGTATATTTTCAAATTAGGTGCATAATTTTAATTCATTTTTTTATTGGAGTACAAGTTATTTTGCATCAGTGTGAACTGAACTGAACTATAATGTTACTCTCATATCTTTAGAATTCTAGTTTAATATGTGTTTTTATCGCTTTTGAATGCATTCAGTAAATTAAACTACCTAGTTCTTGAGGTCAACCCTAAATCTTATGTTGTTAAAAGTAGCAAAATGTGACTATTTTGTATAGTTATACTACTCTTTGTCTTGTGCCCATTGTTCTAAGTATGATGCTTACTGGTAGTAAACTACGACAACTCAGATACTAATTGTGTGTTTACTAGGACCCAGATCTCAAGCCAATAACTAACAGTTTTCAAGTTGCCATGCTTACAAAAGTAATACTTTTTTCTGTAGCCCCATCATTGGTCGTGTGTAGTCACAACTCCTTTTGTGAAGAACCAGCCAATTTGCAATGACCTGTAGAAATCTCACTTAATTCATTAACATATCAGAGTGAACTACATGTTGCATTTTACTACAAATAACGGGCTCAGCTCATTCATCTATACAGCTTGTCAATCTTGAAATCGTTGATTCAAAACCAGGGTGTTGCTATTCTAAGGAAATGTCTCATTTTTAAATAGTGAGGGGAAACTTGTACACTCCACTTGAGTAATGCAAGGAGGAAATTGTTCTGAAAACATTCCTCTCCTAGTAAACACGTATTGTTGAAAACAAAGAAACTAGTAAACTGGTACTACCGGGATTTGTAATTAAGAAAGAGTACTTTCCTAGTAAATGCTGAATGAAAACTGTCCACTGTTGGTTGGGGAACAATAGAGATGGGTAAAAAAGTAGTAATACTTTCTATAGTTGGCAGTTTTCATTTGGCATCTTTTGTTATCATTTACTAGAAAGTACTGACGTGCATCAAGTTCCCATTGTGAGCAAAGTATTTACTAGGAATAAACCAAATCTGTCCACACATGACTGAAATCCAGTTGTGAAAATATGCAATTTTTGGTAAATATTATATTTTTGTCTTCTTCTTGAAAACTACCTACCCAATTGCTTTGATATGTTATATTTAAGTACCTTGTGTTGACCTCTATCAAATTAGTTCATTTCATGCCGATATCATCAATTCTCTATTTTTGGCAAATATTTTTGTAATTTTTGGTGAAAAATTATATTTTTGAATTCCTCTTGTACACTATCAACCCGGTTGCTTTGATATTTGAGGTGTACTTATTTTTTGTGAATAATTTGTTTGATAAAGTTGACATGTTCTCAACATCTAGAACCAAACTATTTTTAGTGGGTTACCGGTAACCACATTTTGTTTTATGAGTGTGCATTACTTGACTTGACTAACACAATATTCTTGTGGGACAGCAGAGCTATTTTGACCGTGTCACACGCAACGTAATATTACCGTAATTGGTATAGTACAGGTGTGATGGTTCAAATACCAAAATGGCAACAGTAACATAAAGACTTCCCTGGCGGCGATGATAACATACGAACACGGAGTCAACAGATGAGGTTTCAACTGGTACTGGTATTATTATACTCTGCAAACATCAAGTACAATAACTCGGTAAAACTCCAAACCTCCAATAACTAGATACTTAAACTCCACCACAATTCAACGAGATCTCCGATCTGATCTCAGTGCTGAACAACTCCCCTATATATACCCACACTGTCTATAAATAGACCATTACATCAGCATACATAATGAGCCTGGAACATACTACAAATTTCTAGAATGTTCCATTACATCCTATTGCCTTCTACAGTGTCCTATTACCTATTCAATCAACATCTAAAAAATTCCACCCAGACACAGTACGGTTCTAGAACATTCTCAGTCACACGGAAGTGGTAAACAAGTCGTATGCGACAGACCGTCAGGTCATTTGTTGATAGAAGACTTGAAAAGGCTCTCTCTCTTGAGAATGAACAAGAAGATCGCTTGATATTTTTATGAGGAACTTAAACTGATTATAAGCTAGTACCCGGTATCAGAAATAGAACAAACATATTAGGAATAAAACAGGTTGAGCAGAGTAACAACTCTATGTACTGTCAACTCTGTCCTGATATTTAAGATTGTATTAATACAGACATTTAGTTTATTTTTCTTTGTCAAATGATTAAATACATTGAAAGGGAAATTAATCTCCCCCGATAATCCAGTTTGCCCAAAATCATTCAAATCTTGGGATATGCATAGTAAAGCAGTCAGCAATTTCAGTCAGTCAGCAAAGTTCCTGTTTTTGTGTTTGATTATTATCCCCCTATGCCTGGTGCAATGCAATGTATCAGTGTATTGTGAATACTAAATGGCATAGTAGACTGTCTTAACCAATTTTAATATAATTTACTTTTTGCGATTTGTTTTTAGATAATTTTAAAATTGCAGTGCAGGACACAAGGTCAAGATATTCCTAAACCAAGGATGTACAAAATAAAAGTATGTAATTGATAGCGAAAAACATGCATTTCAATCCTAAATGCAAATTAGTAAGTCTGTGAAATTAGTGTTCATTGCTGGCTGTTTTCAGTATGGCATATTTGCAAGAGCATGCTTTATTTTTCATTTTTTAATAAGACAAACTTTCATGTTTCGCATTCATTTTCACTATCAATTTGATGCAATCATAGAATATTTGAGTTGTATACCCTTACTTTGCAAGAACCTTCAGCCTCAACATGTACACATGTATAGGTTCTTATAATCTGCATCTCTCCTAGATACTACAAAATGATGAAAGTAAGCACGCGTAGACATTTCAGGAATTTGTCGCGTGAACAGCAGACATGTCACACTGTTTAAAGCTGCATCACACCCAATCCCCAGTTTTTCGGCTGATCTGCACTGGCTCGGAAGATGAATTCTGATTGGCTAAAAAAACAAAAAACTTGTGGCGTTGAATGCACGTTCATTGTCAGTATTGTTATGCAAATTCAAACTAGCTAATCATTTACAACCTTCCGAGCCAGTGCAGATTAGCCCCAGTTTTTCAATGATGGTCACTGATTTAGAGCACAACAAAAAAGGGAATCGGGGAGGACTGAAATCCCTTCTTTTCCCCCCTGAAATGAATTCCCAATTTGTAAAAATTAAGAAAAATGTTATGATTTGGTTATTTTGTTACTATTATCCCTGCTTAGCAACAAAGACAGTTTATCTTAAAATGACTTAAAGAGGGAGGGTCCTCACCTACGCATGCACGTGGAGTCCCAAACGACGATAATACACGGTAAAAACGCTTGACAATGACATGCTATGGCCAGATGCGCATGCGCAGGTGACGATTCCCCGCTTTAATTATTCACAAATACTCAGTTTGGTTTAAAATTGTGATAATTTATTTTCATTTAAGAACAATAAATATTACACGATTGATTACATGATAGTCTGTGAAAAGACCATCTCTCTCTTAAATTGGTAGTGTACTACCACAGTGTTTCTATCATATTGATAGAGGGACTGTTGTACTACCAATGTCTGACTGTTTCAGTGTTGTAATTTAACATTTCTGTCCAGTGCCAAAATACTGAGCAATGGCAGCCTGTTTTAAATACAACAAAACAACAACAAAAGTGTGGGCATATATAACTCTTACATAAACACAATAATGTCCATTTCTCACGTTTGCATATCAATTATAAAGAAGAAAGAAATGTAAATAAAGTCTAAAAATCTTGCCCGGCAAGTATTGGCTGTGATTATAAAATACAGTTACACTACTGTTAGGTCATAAAAACATGTCAGAAACTTGTTGTAATTGTAATTCATAAAGTAATTGACTAAAATGTATAAAAACATCTCAATTAAAATATATAATTCACACAACTATTTACAAGTTTAAAGTAATGTCCATGATGCATTGTGGTCAATACTCAATATAATGCTTCAAATTTCAACAAATATTGATCCAAGCACAAGTCTTTATGAATATTTACAGTGTATTTATAAGGCTGTGAGTTGCCATGCCAACAGAATATGTCATAATTAGAGTGCTCCGCACTCTCTTAGCATAGGCTCCAATTTTCCAGATTTTTGTAATGATTTTGTTTCTGTTCCACCTCCTATACACTTCCCTCTCACAAATACTCTGGGCACCTGTAACAAAATAACAATTTACAATTAATAAAATATTGTCCCTGAATTATGTGTAACTAAACATTATTTATGCATTCTGTTTTTGTCGCATATCGAAAATGACACAATGACTATTTTCTCATATCACAATTTTCTGCATGTTCACATGGATTAAAATTAGCAGATTTCATTTATCGATAAAAATAGCGAAATTAAAATTCTGCAATTATGAATCAATATGTTAAGTCTAGAATATTTACTAATTTTCCTATTTTATTAAATCTTCCCATAAAATTGATTGCTTTTGCCCAACAGTTGGTAGCAAATTCAATGTTCTGGCCAGTATACAATCCAGAGCAATTCCTGTAATGTTCATATACTCAGCATAATGTCATATGACATAGCGCCCTCTATAGTTCAAATGTACTTAAATTGAATATCATGTTACAGGGTCATAGGTGAAAATAAAGTAGTTCACACCGGTAATCAGTGTCGTCTGGTTGCATTTCTTTCATACTCAAATCCTACAATTCTCACTGATTAGTTAAAATATTGCAAAATATAACAATACATAATATTTATATCATTAACAATGTACAATGTTTTCAGACCATGTTACCAAGCCAAATAAAATAATCTTTAGATATGATGAAAATGTTCATTGCCCGGGTAAATGAAATCAACAATAAATGTTTAATATACTCCCAGTACATGTATGAATATAATGAAAATGTTGCCACTTTCCAAGTAAATTCATCCAAGGCTTACACATTGTATACTTAGATGTATTTTGTAATTGAAAAAAATAATGATTTGCGTCATGTCATTGTCTAACAGGGTGCAGGTTAAATTGCATGTAAACAGTTCTACAAACAAGCAAACTACTTTAATTTTTTCACAACAGATTTTCGCAAGTTTGTGAAAATTGCAAAATTTTGTAGCAGTAACAATATCTCGGATACTTATGACATGGCTTGTCATTGACTTTAACACAATTTTGTCTCAGAAATGCCATAAAATTATGGAATCATGAACATTTTTAGCATTGTCTATAAACAGTACTGTAAAATCTGTATTAGAAACTGCGGCTTCTATTAAAATGGTACAATGCAACAGAGGGGATGTGGCTTCTATTAGAGCATCTACACAAATGAGAAATGATGAATTTTTTGTTCTCAATTATTAAAAAAGAATAGGTGTGAATTCTATTAGGGATGCGGCTTTTAATGTAGATTTTACGGTATACATCTCCCGAGACTAATAACAATGATGATGGGATGCAATGACTGGCTTTCATTTGTATCAATAATGTATACACAGTGTATTTTAATATCCTGAATTATTTGCTGGAGTATAAAAATAATACAGAAATGCTAATCCAGCATCCATACATACAGTTCTTGCACCAGTCATGTGACTAAGTATGTTCTGTAATTGAGCTCCATCATCTCTTTGATCGAGTTCCACCACTTCATATTTAGCTTGTAGATCATTGAATACATCTTTAGCCATTTTACAGTACGGGCAATATTGCTTTGAGAAAACTACAACACAGTGATCATGTATCATTTCTCCTATGTACTTTGCTTCCTTGGAGTTCATATCAACAGAAGATGATGAGGTCTGTCCCATTGTCATTCAAGTTCAAAGGCTATATAATATTAACAGTGATGGACCTGAGAATAGAGTGAGATAAAATATACCTATTATTTGTAAAATGTATGTTATAAACAGTAAATAAATTCATTGTATATATATAAATGATTTTCTTAATTACGTCAAACCTCAATAATGTATAATTAGATTAAAAATATACCACAAATATTCACTTTTGAGATATATTTTGGTATGTGTTGGTTCTTGGATATTTCAGCTTCGTAGTTTTGCGATTTTGACATGGAAAATGCCTGGGCTAAATTATTTGCTGAGCGACGACCGCTTAGGTATCTAACTTGCAGCACATGAACCTAAAATTGTTAGACAATTAAATAAAAACAGTACTAAAGTATATAAAGCGACTACCCGTAATTTCTATTTCCCTCAAGAGAAAACAATGGTTCAACCCCATACTTTATGCTAGTATTACGTTTTTTGGTTGTCACTGCCATCCCTAAAATCTTGCTGATAACATTTTGGTCCAAATTTATGTACCTATCAGTGAGGAAATTCAAAAAATGTTGTTTCCTGACAAGAAAAGTAATTAACATAACAATATTTTTGACCTTTGTCGCCATTTTTAATTATCCTTCCCCGGAAGTCTGGAATAAAAATGAATCCATGTCCTCCATAAAAATTGGCAACGGTTTGTGTCATTTTGGTCGTCACTGGTCACCGTATTTCCAGGAATCTTGCAAGTATTGATTGCGTCAGAATTATCGTAGCTATAGCTGAGATAAATAGTCTCTAGTTATAAATATTATCACTGATTTTTTGTCTCTGAAGTGATTCACATCCCAAATTTTGGTTTCCCAGGTATCTCTAATAAATTAGCAATCCTATTTTTGGCCCCAACCCTTTTCAACTCGTAAAGGCAAAGACTTGATTTTCAAGAACGCAGGTCGTTTGAATCAGACTGTTTCTTTTGTTTCGAGTTCATTGTATGCCTAGAAACATGGCAACGTTGTTTTTTGGTGAATATGTTCTGTTCCAATAATGGATTTTAATATGCATAACAATTCCTTATTGGGAATTCTCCTGTACTTCGAAATTTTACAATTATTGTTAGTGTACCTGTGTGTATTAAAATATGTACACATTATATCTAATTGGTAGTGGAATTGACAAGCCCATTTATAAAATTGTGAACAATTAACACTGATGGAATATTTTATATATTGCAATTTTTTTTCAATTTTAATTAGTTGTTTTACAGTACATTAGTAATAATTAAAATATATATATACATTTCTTTATTTCATTTCTGAAAGTGAGTTATACATTTGTTTCGTTATACATTTGTTTATAATTTCTTATCTATATTGGAAAATTGTTCTGGGAATTATTAATTTCAATTAACAATATTCAACTATCCTTTGCAACACCAATAAGATCAGTATCAGTATCAGTATAAAAAGAATGCATGATGCAAAGCCTATTCTACAAATGGTCAAATGTTTCTTGGTCTAAAAAACTAGGGGCATTATCAGAGCATGGGTCTTATTTAGGAACTCCTGCCAGAACTGCACAAATCATAAAGACAAATTAACAGCTCCTAATGATGGTATTCCCAGAATAGCGCAAGTTGTTAAAGATACATAGAACTTTTATTTTCAACAAAGCTACCCGCTACAAAATCCACTTACCACAAAAGCCACTTATCGCAAAGCTACTAGTAATATCATAAAATATTTATTAAAGGCTTACTTTTGCCACAAGAAAGAATGAAACATTCATTGTAACGTACAACACTACTTTGATAGCAATATTGCAGTACTGCTTCTCAAGAATGGATACTGGTGAAGATTACATCGACTAGCAATTACACACATTGCAGAAACAGACCAATTTGAATAATGGAATTACCCCACATTACTGGGAAATGAATGTTGTCATTCCATTCTTTTTTATGACAACAGTAATGGCCAACCACAACCGCCAGATTTAATACAATAAATATATGTTCATGATTTCAATGTTTTAAACCAAAAGTGCGCGGAACGCAAAACAGGAATTATGGCGCCTTGCAAAGGCTTTAACTAGTCATGATTTTACTTATGCTATTGCTAATAGAGACATTAAGAAGTGCATACGACAATGGTACGAGAACGGATACGTCACTGCTTTATGCATGACCTCTGTGCGAACCAATGACGTCATCGGTTGCCTGGTCGTACGGCAGTCGTTTTGAACGTGATCAAGGTGACTGACTCGTAGAGCTTTTCTCGCTGTCAATTTTGATTAATTGATAAAACGTTTTATATTGGAGTGATTTTGTATATTTATGATGAAATAAGAAATATTAGATGCATTTTAGCTGATATTTATAGCCACTGAAAACGCATGGCATTGATCTGCTGAAAGACGATTCAGCTAACAGGCCTGGGACCTCAGCAGAGTGGATGGAAATAGCAAGAGCGAACGTGAAATGACATACCAAATTTTATTGGATAGTTATATTATAGCTGCCCAATGAGAGACGGATTGACATAATTCTGTTTCAGTTACGTTCCCGTTGTGGGCGCTTGTACTTGATCGTTTTCTGACACCCGAGAACGTAACGCAAACGAAATTAGAACAACACGTTATGTTCTGGTTACGTATGCAAATCTTAAACTCTCTAATAACTTCAATGTGCTCAACTCCAGGCAACATGTACAGTTAGTCATAGATGATTGAATATTTTGTATTTTTTCTTTCAAAAACCAGTGCAATGAAAACCTGGTTAACAAAACTAGTAAAAATCATCTCAATGAACAAATAAGAAATTTGGTGTAACTAGTTTTGTTTTGGCAATTCAGGAAAATCACAAAAGTAGCAGAAGATTGTATTGTCAAACATTACGTCATTAAACATGTTGCGCATGTGCAAAAACCTTTCTATTACGTGTAGTTTAATGACGTAATGTTTGACAATAAATCTTCTGCGACTGTGTGGGAATGTATTTCAAAATGGCGGTCATCATAGTGATGGTATTTGTGTTTTGCATAGATTGTGTGGCAATCAGTTCTGTTCCTGCTACATCTTCAAGTACTAAAGTGCAAGTCCATAATAATGGAAATATGTCCTGGTTTAATCCCCCGTGTTAAATCACACACGCCGCGAATAACATAAAAATACTCTCACCTTGGTGTTCTCTGTCGGTCTGTCGTTTAGCAACAATGTTTAAAATGTTATAATGCCGGGTTATGAGAGATAAGAGTGCCGAGCCAGTCATTTAGTTTTACGAGCATGTGTTTGTTCGTAGAGCTCTGACTCCCCATAATTTGCGCCATCAGTGGCAGATTTAGGAAGTTTGCGTTTTTCTAAAATCAGTTGCGCGTGTCTCCAATGGACAAATTAGGTTGCGAATTGTGAGCTCTGTGTAAAGTATATATTTTCCATGTTTTTGAAAAATTTAATAAGTGACCAAAACACCAACCAATGAACAGATTTTAAAGGAAGTGAATTAAAATACTGCATGGTTCTGTCGACTTTTTTGTGCAACATATATAGTTTCCATGTTTTTGAAAAATTTAATAAGTGACCAAAATACCAACCAATGAACAGATTTTAAAGGAAGTGAACTAAAATACTGCGTGGTTCTGTCGACTTTTTTTGTGCAACGTATATATTTTCCATGTTTTTGAAAAATTTAATAAGTGACCAAACACCAACCAATGAACAGATTTTAAAGGAAGTGAATTAAAATACTGCATGGGTTCTGTCGACTTTTTTGTG